GCAGAGATGTCCAGGCAGGAGTGTCGTGCCATGTCCGCGGGGGCGAGCGGTTTGTGTGAGCTTGAGATGTTGATGTTGGCTGAGCCATGCTAAAGGCAGAGTGACTTCGGCTCTGAGATTTTGAGGTGATCACAGGTCGTTTTCTTACGATATAGTTTGGATTTTCACTAAACAAGAAAATGGTAAACATTAATCTTTAGTAGGAGTGTCTGTGCAGATTCTGGTTTATGGCAATCATAGGTTCCTGTGGTCACATGTTTGGACGGGGACACAATCAAATCGTGAACGTTTGATAACTACAGTATAGTCAGTAATAATGATTACGAACATAGTAATTCAGAATAAGGATTGTCTAACATTTTGAGTTTAATTATATGTAGTAATAAAGTGATCCGCGGTAAGAGTTGGCATTGCTTGCTTTGGGGACACTTTGTTATTGTCCTTCCGTTCTGGGCGCAGGTCAAAGTTGGCACAGGCGATAGATAACCAGCAGAGTGCTGGGTACTATAGGAAGTCGAGTGTGACAGAGACGAGAGGTCATTAAACCAAACCGTATCGGTCTATATCGTTCCTTAGGATCCCTCAGCCGTGTTAAGAGAGGGAGCCTGCTGCATGGGCTTGCTTCTCACATTGTCACCCAGGTATTGACTGGCATAGTCGTTATTGGCTGATGGTTACATTCAATATATATATACACAAAATTGTATATACTTATATTTATACACACACACACACATATTATCATCATCCTAAGGGGGCATACACATGGCTGCACTTTGCCACGGCCAACCTTTGCCTCCACCTCCTGGGGTCCTTCCGAGCAAGCCTCCATGCAGCATTCCTTCCCCCCTTAGCACATCTTGGCAGATCTGATCGACTTGCTTCAGCCATGAGTTCCACAGCCTTCCCCTTGGTCTTCTCCAGCCTGGGTCATTCCTCTCAGAGATGACCCTATAAGCCGGATCTTCCTCAGGAAAACGAACCACATGTTGACAGAGCTGAAGTTGGCACTCTCGTATCAGACTGGTAATAGTGTGCCAGCCAATGGGGATGTGAGGACAGGGGATCTACCTATACAGTTGCTCAAAGTACTCAGCCCAACTGGCCCTATACTCACCCAGCTCCAACACAACGCGACCATCCTCTGCCTTCAATGAGCCCAGTTGTAAGATGGACTTCGACTGGAGTTCCTTCAGGGCAGGAAAGCAGGTCAAAGATCATTTTGGACAAAATGACCTTCCAAGTCCTCCATAATGCCCCTAACATACCTTTCTTGGTCCATTCTCACAGAGGCCCTAGCAGACAGCTCCCTGTGCAAGACATGGTACCCATCCAGTCTAGCAGCATGACTTATCTCTATAGTGTTCAGCATCTCATCCAAGACAACACATCCCCGAGGCACTCCTCAGCAGCACTTAAAGGTATCCCACAGTTCAGCAGGGTCCCGTAGAGTGCCAAACACTTCAAACCGATTTGAGACTGCCACTGCACACTCCTGAGCCACCTCCTCACTCTTGAGCCTCTCGAGATGGATCACCTGCTGCTGAGATCTCGGGATGTATCTAGATCTGAGGCGGAGCCTTAGTGTTGCAAGAAGTCTGTGGTCGGTAACAAAAAAAATCAGCACTCCTAAAAATTCTACAGTTCTGAAGGATCCTCCAGTGAGTATCCACAGGAATATGGTCAATCTCTTTAGCTACAATGCCAGCATTGGAATACCAAGTCCAATAGTGTAAATATCGTCTCGGGTACCATGAAACTTCAATCCTCAGCCTCCTAGATCCTGTGAAGTATGAGCTAGTTTGTCAAGCTTGGTGTAGAATATCTCTTCCTCTTCGAGCCCACTTCCCTCAGTAGGAGCGTAGACTGCCACAAGAGATATGAGATGTGCTTCATCCTTACAAGCAGAATGCGCTCATCAACAGGGGTAACCTTCTTGACTGAGGAACGGAAGCGGTCAGAGACAGCCACCGCGATCCCCCTAAGGCGCGCCCCACCAGGCAAGCTTCCCAAGGAAGAAGAGTGGGGGCCGGGGGGACCATCCCCCCCACCACGTAGCCTCTGGGTGCAGGATTCCCTGGGAGGGCTTTGCCCTACACGTGTCCTACCAGGCTCGACATCCCGATCGGATGACCCCTGGTCAGGACGCCTCCTCCGGGATGGCTCCGAACCCCTCTCTCTTTTCTCGGGTTGCCTGCTGGTGAGGGATTTTAAGGGACCGGATTGCCAGCCCGACCCCAACTGCTAGCTAGGGAAAGGGACGCAGTACTCCCTGGGGGCGGAGTGCCCCTGATACCCATATATATATACATACATATATATGTGTGTGTGTGTGTGTGTGTGTGTGTGTGTGTGTGTGTGTGTGTGTGTGTGTGTGTGTGTGTGTGTGCGCGCGCGCTTGTGTGGGTGGGTGGGGTAAAGCCCATTTTAAGGGTATACTGATTGCCTGCAAATTACTCGTACATATTCGTTTATCTTGCTTGCATCATGTATACAGCTT